TGCTTTGGAGGGTGGACTCTATGGCATTGTACATCATTGAGGTCTCTGTCCTCCTCAGGCTCCACTTGCAAATCTCCAGGAGTTTCCCAGCCTGGATGTGGCAATGTTAACCCCCCCCATCCCCTGCCGGTGGCTGGGGGGACACCTGGCGACCCTAAACTGCTGCCAGGCCTAGGGTTACCAACCTCTAAGTGGGGCCTGGAGGACCCCCCTCCCAGAATTACAACTGAACTCAAGACAGCAGAGATCTGCCTCCCTGGAGAAAATGGCTGCTTTGGAGGGTGGGACTCCGTGGCATTATACCCAGCTGAGGCCTCTCCCTTCCCCAAACCCAGCCCTCCTTACAGTCCACCTCAAAACCTCTAGGGATTCCACAAGCTGGCACTGGCAGCCCTTGTCAGGCCTGGCCCCAAGGCTCCCTCCCTCCGAGGCCAAAAGAGGCCCACCCTTTTACTGACAGAGCCAGTTAGAAGCCTCCCTGAACTTTCTGATCTCTCTCTCACCGTTGACGCCTGGAGTTAGATCCCTGCAGAGGCCATTTCAAAAGGTATTGGGGGGAATTCAACCCTCCCTGAAGAGGGATTTTTTTTACTTCTTGGATTTTTCTGCAGACACAGGAAGTCTACTGACTATGTAGGAAAAGCTGTTGGGGAAGAGTGAGCTTCCTGCTGGTGGAAATAAGTATCCGCACAACCCGCCCCTGTTGGAATTAGATATATAGCTATTTCAGTTGCGTGTGAAAGGGTGCCGCCCGGCAGCCTGGGTGAGGCATTGCCCCCTCTGGGAAGCACAGAAAGGCCTGGGGGGGCATTGCCCCTGCCAGGAAATCTCAGTCTGAGCTCCACTGTCCCCCCCACAAATATATATGCCTGGCAGGGATACACAAAGGCCCAGAGGGAATCCTTGCATGGGGGGGGGGGCTGATCCACTGGTGTGACCTTGGGTCAGTCACAAGTCCTCTCAGAGCTGTTCTCTCAGGAGCAGTCCTCGAAAGAGCTCTCTCAGCCCCACCTACCTCACAGGGTGTTTGTTGTGGGGAAGGGAAAGGAGATTGCAAGCCGCTCTGACTCCTTTGGGTAGTGAAGGGTGGGGTATAAATCCAAACTCCTCCTCCTCCTCCTCCTCCTCTCAGCAGCCCTGGCTGTTGAAAGGGGACAGAACCCTTGCAAGCGAATCCCCCCGGGAGGTGTGATCAGAGCTGACCAAGGTGGGCTACCTTCTGACTAACCTCCTGCTGCTGCGCCTCTAAGTCTTCCAAAGCGGCAGTGGAGATTATTAGATCTTTCCTCCACTTCTAGGAAGACTGCTTTTCGCTGTCTTATCTGGTGCCCGTGAGAGGTGCCAAGATCACAGGAGCAAGCACCGTGGCTGCTGCAGTCAGGGCCGGCCTTCTGAAGGGGAGACGTGTCTGATGACCCACCTTCCCCCTGCTGCTCCGACTCGCACCGTGGCATCCTCTGCCGTTTCCAGAGAGGGGTTTGACTGACAGCTGGCGCAGGGCCGGCCAGCTCTGTTTACCAGTGTTGTTTTTCAAACAGTGGACGACTTCAGCAAGCGATCGGGCTTATCGCTGTGCCACGAGACGCTTCCCTGGCTGATCTCTCCTGATCAAAGTGAAGTTAAAAAAAGAAAGGCATGGGAGCATGTCGGGCTGTCGTTTTCTGTTAAGTTGGCAATCCCTGCTGTTTTGGACGCAGCAGGCATTGCATGGTCCAGGACATAAGTTTGCAACCTATGGCTCTAGAGCCAAAATAAAATCTTGTCGGGTCTTTTTGGTGGTTTCCCCCCACTATTAAGTCACAGCTGAATTATGGCAACCCCGCAGGGTTTTCAAGGCAAGACACATTCAGAGGTGTTTTGCCATTGCCTGACTCCGTGTCATGACCCTGGTATTCCTTGGAGGTCTCCCATCCAAACACTGATCAGGGCCGACCCTGCTTAGCTTCCGAGATCTGACGAGATTGGGCTAGCCTGGGCCATCCAGGTCGTAGAAATTGTTTTAAGTTGGGATATTAGAGGAACAGGTGGACGTTTTCTGAGATATGACAAGTCTGGACCTGCCTGGGCTATCCAGGTCGAAGAAATCATGTTAAGTGGGGATATTAGAGGAACAAGTGGAAGGCTTCTGAGATCTGGCGAGATCAGATTAGCCTGGGCTATCCGGGTTG